TCCTGGAGGTAGGTGTGCTCGAAGCCACTGCAAAGACATCAGTCCTTGGATCTCCACGTTTGAACTCTCTGCAGCAATACCTGCGTCGAACGGATCCATCAGGCTTCCTCCTCCTCAGCCATGTTGCGTCCAACACCTTCACGCCCTTCTCATAGGCTACAGGACATGGGTCTCGTACTTGTCCATCTTGTTGAGTTCCTCCTCATCGCCCTCCTTGATCTCTTCAGCAGTGAGTTGCTTGTTCTCTTCATCTCCTGAGTCCATGTGGACATCTTCCACTTCCTCCTCCCCAATCACGATGTCCTCACTTGGGTTTAGAGCGCGCCAACATAGATTCCTCCCACGCGAGCCTTCTTCTCAGGTCTTTCATCATCTCCACCGCCTTACCAAGCCCGTCTTGCTGAGATCTGCCATAGGCACCTCTCGGAGGTAGCGCAGCCGCTCAAGGCAGATGCCCTTCCTCCATGTTGCGTCGCCCTTGGTGATGACATTCTTGCTGTGCGTCTGCTCTCGCTCACCGGAATCTTGACCAACGCTGTCTCGGCAAACGAAACCAATGGCGCAGTGTATGCTGTCCTCTGGTTTGCCTTCGCAGCAAATCTGCTCCTGATGGTGGAGCAGCACCATCTCACCAGCCAACGCCACAGGTTATAAAAATGCGTATAATTATGATGCCATACTCAGCCTCCACCAAGGTCGCTGAAAAGCCCCCAGTGTCCAAAGCTCTGACTGGAACTTCTCAATGATGACCCTCAAGCCTGTAGCTCCTGGAGCTTTCCCTTCTCTCAAGGCCGCTGCAATCTTGGCCACAACTTTCTTGATCACAGGCTCGTTGTCATTTCTGAGCTTCACAGTGGTGTAGCCGAGCTGGGTGATGAAGGAAGTGATCACCTTCACAACATAAGGCATCTCAAGATTCTTGCCAGGAATGCTCAGGGCCAATGCCATGCCTGCGCAAGCGAGAGCACGGTGTCACTGCTCTCCTGAAAGCGATCTGCCAAGCTGGTGTCGGTCTTGAGGAAGAAGTAATCCAGCTCAAAGCGGTTGTCGACAAGATTCATCAGACGCATGGCCTCTTGCGCAATACTCACACGAAGGTGCTGGAGGGATGTGGGTGATCAAGTGTCTCTCCACCTCCTCTGTGTCAAGCATCTGAGCAACTGGCACGCACGCTTGCTGGCGTGCGCTCCCTTTCAACATAGTCACGCGCCTTTGCCTGTCGAGCTCTCAGAGCAGCTTCAGCTTTCTTCAGCCGCTCCCACAAGGTGTGCTTGTCTCCACGCATAGATCGGCTCATCTAATTCTCGAAGCCAATCACGCACGTCCATGCCGCCTCCATCCGCGCAGCTTGGGTCTGTCAGCACGGGCATGAGTCATGAGCTTCGTCTCGAGCAAATTCATCTGGCAAAGGAACCAGCTCCATGCCTTCCTCTTCATCGGCCACTCCAGCATAATCCCAGCCATACTCTTCACCTTAACCTTCCACTGAAGCAATCACTGCGTCAGGTTGAGCATCCATAGTGAGGCATAGCTTCGTTGATGTAGAGGTACAACGGGATCTTGTAGTCCAAGTCAGGGTGCGACGGGAAGGGTCGGTACCTGTCAGTCAAGTCTACAGTGAATCCTCGTCTGCTCATCTTGCCAACACTCACGACATCTTTGCTGGCGTTCTCACTGACCTTGAACTCAGTGATCACATTGAGGCGGTAGCCGTTCTCGCCAAAGGAAGGCCTGCAGAGATATTCATCACTGCCGGAGTCCCAAAGAAGGTACTTGATCTCTTCATTGGGCCAATTGTGTGCCAGCGGGTTCCAGTCTGAAACGCCCTATGAAGTTCTCTCTGGATCATCATGACCCACTTGGCATCATCACAGTCATCCTCGATGTCACAGGTCTCCTCAGAAGCATCTGCCCAAGAGATGCGAGGCTCGGTGTCATCCAACCAGTAGTACACAGCATTCGTGCTAGCTGTGCCACCACCACCGCCAGGGGATTGATTGAGATCCAGGCGCCGCTGCCGAACTGGAAGCTTGAGCGGCGGTCGCAGCGTTGGTGCTAGTGCCCTCGCCTTTTTTCACCGCCAGCCTCTCTCTTGGCCTTGTCTGCAATCTGCCTTCTTGTGTCGGAGCACTCGCCATTGAACTTCTTTGGAGTTGCCTTGCCACCCTTGGACTTGTCGAACTTGCCACCTTTGTTCACACCTTTGTCGTTCTTGCCATGTTTGCCCTTCTTGCCTTTCTCCCCTTTGTTGTGGCCAATTGCACCGTGCGTCCATGAGATGGGCCACCATCGTCCTTCGTGATCTCACCTCGGTTGGTGTAGTAGGAGCCGCTCTGCAGGAAGTCACGCAGGAGTTTCTTTGCGCGCTCAGTTTGTCCTAATCTCCTCAATGCGGATCTCATAGACTCAGGACTATGCTTCATGAGCGCTGCGATCTTGGTTGAATCAGACACTTGCTGTCTGCTTTGCACCTCATAGCGCCTGATCAAGTCGATCTCCTTCGCTGACTCCCAGGCTGGGGCTATCGCCGTGTGCCTGCCACAAATGTCAGGTTCGTAGGCTTCGCAAAGCGCCTTCCAAGCCGTAAAGCCGTACCCATTCCACGTTCATCAACACCTGCGAAGCTCTTCCTTCAACTGACTGTGTCAACAAACTGAACAAAACGACAGCTTTCTCCTGCCCATTCTGTCCCATGTCCGATAGGAGGAGGTCCAAATAGCAAGGGGCCTGCCCAGCCGCTTCTATCATTGCATGAAATCCAGGATCCAGCAAGTTCAGGTACCCTCTAGCAATGAAAGCCCATGGCGGCCGCTTGCCACTGTGGAGCTTTGTCCCGTGGTTCCCCCACACAGGCACCTCTAGGGCTTTATCCTGTCTGACAGGAGGGGTGGAGCCAGGTGCCCTGAACCTGGATCCCCTACCATGCAAGCGGGTAGCGCAACTTTTCTGAGTCGCAAAGGGCTTGCGGTATGTTTGACTGTACACGTTGTATGTATTTACCTGCCGAGGTCTCCCTATTTTCACATTGCAAGCCACCACACATCGAATCACGAGCATGATACGTCACCACATCGCAAATCACAAGGAAAATGCTGGGTACAACTGAAATATCCTAAAATCAAATGGCCTAAGAGCATGTGGTCACAACAACGCAGCTCGAGATAAGTGAAGCCGCTCTCCTCCGTGAATAAGGGTCACCAAGGTTTGGACATTTGGGGTCAAGAGGATTCCATGATAATCCCTGGTAGCTCAGTGCATCATACAGTTGTTCCATTTGTCATTTGTCCAGGCCCCAAAGTTGAAGGGAACCCTAGCTTGTGCGCCTTTTAAACCATGGCTTCAAGAAACTTATATAGATCTTGCCATTTCTGAGCTGCCAAGATTCAGCAAATCCTTCGGGATATCTTTAGGAAGGTGAATTGGAAGTGAAGGGACACACATCTTTTGTCCTTCGCCTGGAACTCACCCAAACAAATCTGCAATTGAACACTCACAATCCTGGCAAATTAACGAAAAAAAAAGTCACACAGCATAGCGCAGCCAGCGCAGCCTCATCCAAATGGGGCACTGGGACCACAAAGGCAACACCACCGATGCGGCACAATGGGCCTGTAAGGATCGTCCAAGTCCAAGTGATGGCATCCATGTTGTGAAAAACCATTCAGCCCAAAGAAAGTCTTCTTAATCACCTTGCAATAAAGGAGCGCGAAATGCTGGAATGACAAAAACGAAAGCAATTCAGTGCTTCCAGTGTTCTATCCAGATCAAGTTCCTTCCCTCAGCTAACTTTTTTCTTCGGCCCCTTCCAAAAGTCTCGGACTTTTGAAACCAACTAAAACAAGTAAATGGACAAACATGTGCTTCCCCTGACGAAATAAGGGCTGGCCACATCTGACTACATGCCATTGCGCAAATAAACTTGGAATAAGGTTGTGGAATGTTGTGAAAGGTAAATTTCACAAGCAAAATTGGACAACTCATCACCCAGAGCGGACACTGAAGCTTCACTGCCCAATGGAGCTGTGGGCGCAGGGCGAAGCGTGTCCTGTCAAATCAGAAAACATATTGCCATCCATTTCGGCACAGTATGTCCCAAATACGGCGGTTTGAGGACAGTTTGAACACGTTCAAACGCCTTCCAGCGATCGCGGATATCGGGCGGAGCAAAGATCTGGCCACTTGCGCACGATGTTTAATTCATGATCGGTTTAGTGCATGCATAACTTACAGCACCAAATACAGTCAATCAACGTTGATGAAGTTTCTACGAGCTGTTTGCCACTTTCTTTTACTAGTCTAAGTCTTTCCAAATAATAGCAAGATCAAATCAAGTGGATAAGTTGGTTGTTTGTAGTGTAAACCGTGTTTCACAGCTTGATTAGGACCCTCCTTCAACAAGACTTCCGATTTAAGTGTGAGGTCTTTCACAGAGTCTGCAGAGTCAGAGTTGAAACGTGTTGTGTTCATATCGGGTAGAAACACTAGCCCACCTCAAGGCCGCCACACCGTGAGGGCCCAAAGCTCGTTCCTTGGGCATCTCCTGGTATGAAATCTGAGCACCATGCATGGGGACCGCAAACGATGATTGCGCGCCCACACACACTTATAGAAATGTGTACGGATGTGAATGCGGTGCCACACGCCGGCCTAGGTTACTATTTCCTAAGAGTACAGGTGAGAAACCTGAAAAGAAGTGGAGGTCCATCAAGTTTCAAGTGGCCAACAAAATCTTGTCTGCCGAGTGCATTAGCCCTTTACGGAAACTCAAAACTGTTGCAGGTACGTCCAGCTGGCCAAGCTGGATATCCCACCAGATTGCATAGCTTTGTTAGACACGGTCTGCAATCTGGTGCCGTGTCCCCCTGCAAAAAATTAAAGCCAGAGGAAGCAACGTCGCAATCCGACACGATCCCTGTGATTTCAAGGGGCACACACACACACACTTAGGATAGGGTGTACTGAACTGAAAGCGGTGCCACACGCCGGCCTAGGGTTCCATTTCCTAAGAGAACCAGTAAGGACCATCGAATCCTGGAGGTCTTAAAAGGAAAGGAAGCCAAAAGCGTAAGGTCGAAGACGACGAACAGGGCGAAATGACGACGATCGCTCAAGTCTGCAGCAAGTGAGGTTCTGGGCTTAGCCTCGTGCCATTCCGTTTGAAAAAGGCAGGTACGTAGTTCAAGCATGGCAAGAATTCCAATCAACGAGGTGTACTTCGTCTCCAAACCTTCAAGCATGTCAAGAATTCCAATCAACGAGGTGTACTTCGTTTCGATCAACGAGGTGTACTGCGTCTCCAAGCATGTCAAGAATGTGACGCCCTACCTACTGTAGAGTCAGGAGCTCGGTCGACTACCTTTGCCGAGTGTTGCCGATGACCGCCAGAGGTCAGACTGACATGGGGTTCAGCATCACTAGACAAAGTGTCCGCCGCAACCTCCTGCCGAGACGAAAGCGACGGAGTCAAAACCGAAGAAGCCGTCGAAGCAGGAGTTGAGAGGCTCGCTGTAGGAGATGAGATGGCCAAAGTTCTCGAAGGCGAGTCTTGATCGAGCATGTCAAGAATTCCAATCAACGCGGTGTACTTCGTCGTCAAGCATGTCAAAATTCCAATCAACGAGGTATACTTCGTCTCCAAGCATGTCAAGAATTCCAATCAACGAGGTGTACT